TCTTTGAGCATTCGTAAGTAACTTCTTATGACACAGCAGCCAGAGGAAGGTCTTAACCTTTGGTGGAACATGAAGCTTCCAAATAAAGTCCCATTTCCAATTAACACTGCCCTCATCCAGATAAAAGGTGCTATAGGCAGTTTTAATAGAAAATTGGCCATTAGAGGTAGCCTGCCAGATGCATTTATCCTCCCCACTCCCATTATAGCTAGCATGAACACTAAGAATCAAGTTGACAATATTTGTAGGCAAACATTCCATTAAGCAATTGAAATCCCAAACCTCATCCTCTAAAAAGTCACTAACATTTAAATGAAGCATGTCCTCAAATAAATCAATTAGAGCAAATTGTTGTAAAGGTCCACAACTAAGCCATCTATTAGTCCATAACAAAATATCATCCCCAGACCCCACATGCCATTTAACACCAGCAAAAAGAACTTGAGCACCATATAAGATACCCTTCCAGACATTGGAGCTACTCTGGAACTGCAGATCTTTAGCGGCAAGGATATTGCAATGCCTTAGATACTTAGCAATAAACACTTGAGCCCAAAGACCTTGCTCACGTTGCAGTAAACGCCAACCAGATTTAGCAAGAAGAGCTTGATTCATCCAATCAGAATTTTTAATACCCAAACCACCAGCAAATTTAGGCTTATAGACAGTGTCCCAATTAACCAAGTGAACCTTCGCTTGATCCGTAGTATGCCCCCATAAAAAATTTCTATTTAACTGATCAAGTTTCTGACAGATAGAAACCGACAATTTAGCAGATTGCATGGAATAAATAGGGATAATAAAAGTGACTGATTGTAACAAAGTCAGACGACCAGCCATAGCAAGAGTATGACTTTTCCAAGAAGATAACCTCCTTTGGAATAACAATAATCTCTTGATAAGTAGCTTTAGTGACTCGTGTGTGAATAAGAGGAACACCAAGATACTTGCCAAGACAAGTAGTGAGAGGGGAACCACATATAGTTACAATAGCCTGAGCCAACTCAGAAGAACTATTTGGAGAAACACAGATCATAGATTTCTCAAAACTCATCTTCTGACCAGATAGACTACAAAAATCGTCTAAACATTTCTTCATAACAGTAGCCTGATTGACAGAAGCTTTACCAAAGAGAATCAAATCATCAGCAAAGAAGAGATGAGAGATAACAGGACCGCTTTGGCATATCTGCACCGGCTTCCAAGCCTTATCTTAGACAGACTGCTGGATAATATGCGAAAGCTTTTCCATACACAAAACAAAAAGATAGGGGGAAAGGGGGTCCCCTTGCCGAATGCCACATTTAGGAGAGAAAGTATCAGTTAATTCACCATTGAGAATCGCCCTATATCGCACCGAATTAATACACTGCATTAAAAGCTCAAGAATTCTCCCACGAATCCCAACCTCCCAAAGCACTTCTCTAATAAAATCCCAATTTAACCGATCATAAGCTTTGGATAAATCAATTTTCCAAGCTATGAAACCCTTCCTCCCTTTAGAACTTTTAAACAATTTGTCTTCCTGGAACAAAGCTCACTTGATTAGGATTGACCAAACTAGCCATACAGGGCCGAAGCCGAGCAACAAGAATCTTAGAAATCACTTTATAGAGAGGATTGCAAAGAATGATGGGGCGAAGCTGAGTCATGGAAACATGTCTCTCAACTTTAGGCACCAAAGCGATCAACGTCTCATTGATATTCTCAAGAAGAGAAGTAGTTAAAAAACAATCCTTCACCAAAGCAATAATATCAGCAGAACACATCCCCCAACATTTCTGATAAAAGAGGGCAGGAAAGCCATGAGGTCCAGGAGTTTTTAATCCCCCAATAGTAAACAGACTGTTTTTAACTTCATCATCAGTAACCTTACAACTTAAACCTTCTAAATCCATATCAGCCAACCTTGGAAAAAGATGAGGGAGCAACCTATAATCATCAACTAGACCAGTATCACCAAACAACCCTTGGAAGTAATTGACAATAGTCAGTTTCATTCCAACCTTATTAGTGATCCAAATTCCAACCTCATTATTCAGACCTTAAGGTTTATTCCTCATCCTCCTTATGACAGTAGACAAGTGGAAAAAGTGAGTGTTTCTATCCCCTTCCTTTAACCAAGTATTTCTAGACTTCTGTAACCAAAACGACTCTTCCTGCTCAAGGATCAAATTATACTAAGTAGATAACTTGTTCTCAAGCTTACTAAGATAAGGGTTATAACTTAACATAACTTCCTTTGAATGCCTTCAAGTCTAGCCAAAAGTCTTCGTTTCTTACGAAAAAGACAACCAAAAACCTGCCTATTCCAAGAAACAATAGGGGACACAAGCCCAGCAGATTTAATAACCGCATTACCATTATTAGACTGCCAAAGATCAGTAATAAACTCAGAAAACTCAGGGTGGGTGAACCACATGGCTTGAAACTGAAAAGGCACACAATCTTTATTAGGAAGATGAGCAGAAGAAAATCTAACCATGATAAGACAGTGATCTGAATTCACTCTAGGCAAGTGGGAAAGATGCGCCTCAAGAAACAACAATCTCCACCCAATATTGCTCAAACCCCTATCCAGCCTTTTCCAAATGATACCCTCCGTATTCCTTTTATTACACCACGTAAACTTAGCTCCAGAAAAGCCTAAATGAGCTGATTATGATCAATCCAATCAACAAAATTCTGTCCACTAGAATCAAAGTTGCAACCAGACTTTTCATCAGCACAAACAATGTCATTAAAGTCTCCTAAAATCAACCAAGGCAGCTTAGAAGCCTGAGCAAGGCCATCGAAATAAGCCCAAAGAGACTTACGAATACCTGGGCAAGGGTTAGCATACACTACAGTGAGCAACCACCAATTAGTCCCCAATTGCACAAGAGTAGTAATTGATTGACTAGAATGGGCAATGATTTGAATAGAGATAGAGTTGTCATTCCACAACAACCAAACACCCCCAAAAAAACCAGTGGCATTAACAATATGATAATTAGAAAAACCCAAACTCTTAGCAATTTGCAAAGCTCTAATACCACCAATTCTAGGCTCAAGAATAGCTAGAATATCAATAGCATAAGCCTTCTTTAAATCTTTAATAGTACGAGCACAACTTTCCTTGCCAGCACCAACATTCCATGAGACAATAATCATCATAACAAAGGTAGAGAGGGAAGAACCTAGGAAAAACCTAATTCTGCACTTGCTTAGCCTCACCACTAGTAGAGGCAACTTGTTCAACGACCACAGCCGTACCCACATCAAACTCAGCATCACCTTGATCAACAAAGTCACCATGGTGATCCAAATTGTCAGAGGTTAAACTAACACCAGAAAAGAAAGCTTTATTAAGCACCCTTTGACCAATGTTCGGGGGTTCATGACCATGAATCAGCCCACCTTTCCCTAGAGAAGACTCGAAAAAGAAAGGCCCCTCCATATTGAAAGAAAACTTCTCAAGAACATCATCCTGCACATCAGCCCCACGAACTTGCATTCCCACAGCATTCAGACCTTTAGAACTATTAAAAGCTCTCCCCACCCTATTCTGCCCAACCTTTCGAGCACCAGAATCAGGCTTAGCAACAACTCCAGAACATGCTGAGTTAGTAATATCCCTCATAGGCTTCTTAAAAACCCATGTAGAAACGTTACGCCCTGTGCCAGTTTGTTTCTCAAAAATCCTAGATATGGGAGAGGCACGCTCATGAGTTTGAGCAACTGGCTTAGAAGCCTTCTTGAAACCCAAATGACCAGGAGTGACACCCGCACCCTCATCATCCCTACCATCATCATCCCTCAAGATATTAAATCTAGAGCTAGACTAGCTAGTAGCAATCTTCACACCACTAGCATTAACAGACTTCTTGGTAGATGAGAAAAACTACCCTTGTTCATGTGGAACCTTCTTCCTGAAATTTTTTGGTTTCCTCAGCATCCATTCCCCATGCTTCTTAGTTGGGGTTTTACCAACCAAATTAGCAGGCTCAGCAACAGCAATATCCTCATTTGGATCGGGAAGAGTACCCTCCATATTCACATAAACTTCTTCCTCAGAGGACTGCTTTTTCCTAGCCTCCACAATAACAGGGCAGGCATCTCTACCATGCCCAAAACAACCACATTCAAAGCAAACTAACTGAATTCCCTCATAAACAACCTCATAAGTACGTCCCTCAACTTCAATAAAGGGGATAAGAGGCTTAGATAAATCAAGCTCAACACACAACCTAGCAAACTTACCTCGAGCTTGACCCATAGTATGCACATCCACCTTAACAAGAGTACCAATGAGATTTCCAATTTTCATCATAATATCAGTACGAAAATACTCCACATTCAACCCATTGATTCGAATCCAAGCAGTCATCTCTCTTCTTTAGCATTAAACCCAGGTTTCCAATTTTGAGTCACAATATATTGCCCAGCAATCTGCCAGGGACCGCCAGTGAGCACATACCTCTTATCCTCTTCAAGAAGAAATTTGACAATTAAGTAATTGTTTTCCAGATCTATTAGACTCATATGACCCTTTAACTCCCAACGTTGAAGCAATCGATCACGCAAGAACGTATACGACAGAGGCCGACCCATTAGCTTGATAATCACAGCAGTCCTCCAAGGCCTGTACAAGCAATCTTTAACCCTTCCAGAAAATTCAATGGATGGAATATCCCCATGCTTGATTACAACATCATCATCACTAATTTCAAACTTATCCTCAGCCATCCCAAAATCACCAGAGACCTTATCTTTGAAACTCATTGAAATTGGGGGCAAAGAAGGAAGAAGCACATCAGACTCCATTCCACCAACATCCAACATCTCCAGGGTACGAGCACGCTTCTCTCCAGCAACCAGGCCCTCCTTCGAGCCGCCACCAGCCTCGAACACAAACCCAGAAATCCCATCCGCCACCATGGATGGTGGGACAGCAACAGCGCAGTGAAGAAATAAAAATGTGAAATCCCTAGAAAACGCCAAACGTGTGCAGCGTGTTCTATTGTCGCAGTATTTTTCCTTAACAAAGGTAAATGAGGTTGTAAATTTTAACTTGCATTTACTATCATATTTATTTTTAGCCACGTATAAATATTTATGAGAAACTTTTCCTTAAACATGTCTTATAATTTCTGACAAAGAAAAATGCCTCGTATAATTGTTTGTGTTTTTTATATTTTATTATTTTACTTCTGGTATGAAGATATGTTGATGCTATTAGAATAGCTGAGTGAGGATAATACTCGGCCCATAACCCAAAAAATAAATCAAACATACTAGGACCAGGCCCAACATGAATATCGACGTGTGTGAGCCCAACATGAATATCAACGTGCATGTCAAAATCCTTCTGGCGCGGCTATACTATTTTTTTTATAATAAAAAACCATAATATAGCAGTGCGTCTATACTCTTTTTATTAATAAAAAAAATATAGATATGTATCAGTCCCCTTCTATTGAGGGATCCCTCAAATAATTTTATTTGAGGGACAACCTTTAGGGTTCTCTACAAATATTTTTTCAACGATCGAACCATCTATTTTTTAAGCCTACATTCATACATCATTCTTGCAAAAAATTAGACAAATCGGAATCCATTTCGATATCCAATTATGTCCTACAAAATCAATGAACACGATACTTCAAGAAAGTACTAAAATTTCAATAATTCAATTGAGTGGTCAAATAATATCGGAATCAAGTGATTTTTTTTTTGTATAGATGATCTTTGAATGAGTATCAACAAAGTAGACGGTTTGGACGAGTGAAATACAATAGGAAGTGGGTCATACAAAGGTGTCCCTAAAATAAGTTTATTTGAAGGATCACTCAATAAAAGCTCTCTGTAATATATATAGTCCCCATCTATTGAGGGAGAACTTTTAGGGTTCCCTACGAATTTTTTTTCAACGATCCAAACCATCTATTTTTTAAGTTTACATTCATATATCCTCCTTGCTAAATTAGACAAATCAGAAATCGTTTCGATATCCAATTGTGTCCTACAAAATCAATGACCACGATGCTTCAAAAAAGTACTAAAATTTCAATAACTCAATTGAGTGGTCAAATGATATCGGATTCAAGTGATTTTTTGTAGAGATAATCTTTGAATGATTATCTAAAAAATAGACGGTTTGGATTAATGAAATACAATGCGGAGTGGGCCTTACAAGGGTGTCCCTTGATAGGATTAAAAGCACACCACAAAGTAGCACACAAATAACATATTGATTTTCCTTATTAACACTAAGATTCATCAATTGTAGCATATGAAAATAAGGGTCTTTCCCGCAGAAGATTGTCTTATCTAACTACTTGAAATGTCACAAAAACTGGGCTGCTATCCTTACTGACCAGCCACCGAAAAAAAAAATAATTATTATCCCTACTTACACTTATCGAAAGTCTACGAAATTTTATGCACAGATACTAGACACGCAGAGCTACACTCACACTTATTGTAGATACAAATGACGGGAGAAAGTTGATGATCAGACCATAAACTCCTAAGAGAGAACTAATAATAAATAATATGATGTTTAGAAAATTAGTAGGTATATATACATATATAAAGTATCAAAATATGATTGTTTAAAAAAACTCGATGACCTACATGCGGCTTCCAATGTTTAGTGTATTTGGAGTGTTTGGCCCACACGAGGAGTAACAATAACATGCCCTAACAAGCCTCTATCAAATTCACCAATTAAGCTTCCATTGCATCTTAAAGTTTGAACTTTGGATACCCTACAATAACATGCCCTACAATAATTATGTTTGTTGTAATTTGAACATTGGATTGTTAAAGTTTGAACTTTCATTTGTTAGTTTAGGTTATTTGTAAGTTGTTTAGGTTGATCAATTTTGAATTCAAGGGATTATGCTTGTTTTAAGTTGATCCATTTGGGAATGGAACTTTCCAAAACAAGCTTGGAACTTGATTCATAACAACTGACCTAAAAACCCACTTAAAGTTTGAACTTCCATTCCTCATAATTGTCACATTGATGTTGGCAAAACTGGGTAGTAGTTGATGTGTCATCGACATCATCACTGGTAGTAATTTAAAAATATAATATGAAACAATTTAGATCATTACCAATTATTTCACAAATCAAATAAATATAACATGTCGACTTCTCTTAGTAAGGCATATTGATTCAATTAAGAGTTGACTTATCACACTTCTACTACACTAATGAACTTGTTGCTTTGACTCATGAGGGAAGGTTGTTGATTAGGTTATAGAGTCCTGAGAGATGATTAATAAGAAATAATATAATGTTTAGAAAATTAATACGAAATAATATGTTAGTATATTAGCGTCGTCATCCTACATCCATCAATTTGAGTTTTGGACCAAATATAGAACATGACATGAAATCTATCAACGATGTCTGTAATTCCACTATTATTACTAGCTCATGCACATATATATATATATATATAGAGAGAGAGAGAGAGAGAGAGAGAGAGAGAGAGAGAGAGAGAGAGAGAGAGAGAGAGGATTTGATTATTATAATTTGATAGGAATGTGAGAGACTCAATTTCATGGTCAGAAATAAACAGAAACAAATATAAAGGTTACCTCATTTCCTTAACAAGGAATGCTAATATACAAAATAAAATCAGTATGCTACAACTTGATAATTTCATCCACTGCCTTCTCTTCCACTTCTTCATTTTTTATTTTCGTCCACTGCATCATCGCAATTTCTTCTAATTCATCATCACCCTTAATTCTTCCACTTAACTCTCTCTTCTTCCAAGTAACTATCCTTTTCTTCCACTTCATTTTCATGGCCACAATTTCATCTTTGTCCCTTAACAATACAAAACAAAAACAAAAACAATATCAATATTATTTACTTGTGCTTCCCATTTTCATCTTCATCATTTCCATCACTTAACATTAAATCCGCAATAAAATCAATGTTGTAGAATTACATAATTGCAAAACATACATGACAACATCATTTCAATCATCTTATTACACAATATCATTGTCTTGCACTTTTTCATTATCTGCATCATTTTCTTGCACAACCTCTACATTTCCATCATCTCCTTGCACAACATGGTCGAAAATAAATAGAAATAATGGGGGAAGGTTGTTGATTAGGTTATAGAGTCATGAGAGATGATTAA